AGCTGCCTGACGGGTGGCCTGATGACTTGTTTTTATGTTTATTGAGAACCTCCCTCTTTGGCATTGGTTCACATGGGGCGGCGTTTCCGGGTTTCTTCTTTTTTTGGCATTAGATGGGTTCAAGACATTGGGAGGCGGTATCAACCCAGGCCGCCGGGTTCAAGGAAACTGGGCATCTGACATAGAGACGACAGACCGGGAGAAACCCCCAAAGCACACACACGTACACATCAACACACACACACAAAGACATACTTGTAGAATAGTAATGCGCGCTCTAATCGTCTGCAAATCGCGCCAGCCAGGTCGACCCTAGCACGAGATAGATATATATTCAAGGTTCAGTGTCACACACAACAGCTAGCTTTCCGCAATGTCACATCAACCCACTCTCTCTAAGCGCCTTCATGACCTCGTCCTCTTCGCGATGCTTCCTGCGCCGGCGGTGCTTCACATCCCCAACATCAATGTAATTCTGCCAAAACTTGAGCCCCTCGATGCCGTCCTCGCGACAGACCACGCCCCTTTCCTCAGCCATCTCCAACTCCTCCTCCGCCACGCCAATGCTCCAGCCGAAGCGCTCCGCCGCATCCCGCGCCGTCACCCCGCGGCCAAACTGTCGCCAGTCCCACGCCAGCTCCTTGTCCGGCGGGAACTCGTGCAAGTCGTCCAGCCAGCACACCAGCGCCCTGATGGTGGTCTCGTCGGTGCGATCGCTGCTCTGTACGACCAGCACACCGCTCTTGAACTTTCGCAGCCGGACGGGCAGTCTGAGTGACTCCCACATCTGCGAGGCCTTTTCGAAATCCATGGGGCTCACGAGCTCGACGCCGCCCCGGGCGCGGTTGAACATGGCCCACAGGTCAACCAAGTTGATGATCCCGCCCGCCTTTTTTAAAACACCTCGCGCGTCGTCTGTGAGGAACTCTGCAAGATTCCTCGACAACTCGGACAGATACAGCGTCTCAGAGCTGCTCCCGCCTACAATATCCTTGGTCGTCACGAGACCGAGCTGGCTGGCCGATTCGGCTAGCAGAGCGTTGGCCTCGGCGCCCGTCCCGCCGTTCTGTCGCGCAAACCTCTCCGCGAGGGCCACAATCTCCTTGGCGGAGGCCATCAGGGCGTCCAGGTCCTCGAACGCGCTGCCAATCATCACCTCGTTGTTCTTGCGCATGTCGAGCCCGCGCTGCTCCAGACCCGCGATACCCACGCCCTTGGGACGCTCGGGGACCGCCGCGGGTGCGCGTACGAGTGCGCCGTTGTCGTCTATTGTGCGATTGCTCTTGGGTACCGGCGGCGCGCCCTGCAGAAGCCACTTGCGCTGTGTCAACGCGCCCTTGAGCCGCTCGTAGAATATCTTCTCTCCGCCTCCGCGGAAGGAAATTTTGATGTTCTCGGCGGTATCCTGGCCAGGCGAGGACGTCGTGAGGACCGGACCTGGAGACTCTGTCCTTTGTGTCTGCACCTGGGTGACGACTGCTTGGGGCAGATCTTGCGATATTAGGGGTGCCCCGCACATCTCGCATGACAGCAGGGACGGGTGATTTGAAAACGTGCATCGAGGGCATTGGAACGTCGCGCTTGGATCTGATGGCTTCGGTGGGGCGCCGCCGTTAATGTTCGAGGCCGCTGGCCAGGGAGGCGGAGGCCCCGCGTTGTCGTCGGGCCTGTTGGAGGTCGACCGAGGGCGCATCGCGAGGGGCGAGCTGACTGTTGGGCTCGAAGGGGTGGCCGGCGGGGCGCGGCTGGTCGCATTCGATATAGAAGCCTTCAAAACGTGCGCCAACGTCGGCTTGATGCCGCAAGCAAGACATGGTGGCAGCGGGGTGTGTATGTTTGCCGTCGTTGGGTCAAAGTTTGACGGGACTGGGTTGGAGAAGCTGCAGATGGTGCAAACCCAGGTTGCTGCGCTTGCTGGTTCGGGCGGCGGTCGGTAGGGACCATCGGCTCGAGCTGGTGACCCTGCGCCATTTCTCCCAGGTGTAGATATCGCAGACGCTCTAGTCTGGAGCGACGAGCGTTTTATTGGCTTGGGAATCAGGGTGATCTTCGCAGAAGATTTCAGGAACCCCGCGTAGAACTCATATCGATCAATGTCTTTCAGATCTAGGGCAACGGAGTGCTTGCGCGGCTCGTCCTTGTCGACGTAGCAGATTCGGTGGGACGTCAAGTACACCTGACCATTTTGCTGTTGAGGTAATTTGAACTTCCTAGACAGAGAGGAGAGCTAATTAGTGTACTGGTATACGGTGAGAAGCGTAGGATGGGGTTCAAGGCTTGTCGTATTTACCCTTCATAGAGCCCGACGTTGTCCTGGACGAACAACAAGACTTCATCCGGTAGGTAGGAAGGCCGGAGAGCGGTCGTGAGGTCGATTTGTTTTAGAAACATCCGTCATATTATTCACGAGCGTACTGAGGATATTGAAGCTCGCGCAAAACTGGGGTTTGGTTGGGAGGTGTTGAAGTATGGCAGGGGCTATTTGCCGCGGTTTGTCGCATACGTCAGGGACAGTCTCGGGCTGGTTCGAGGAGGGGATCGGAAGCCGGGTTCGCAGCTATTTCAAGGATTGCGCATGATTCGAGGGTAGAAGAGGAGAACTCGACAGGTTTTGAGACACCGAACCAAGTTCAGTGGCTTGTTGTTGGGGCTGAAGGAACTCAACCAACAGCTCCTATGCCAGGCGTCAGTTTATCTCTCTCGTAACACAACTGCCCCACGGAGAAGCAACGGTCGAGTGGAGGGGGAACTGGACATTGAAGGTGGGATGTCGCCGACCCACTATAGCGATAGTCCCCTTTTGTTGCTAGCGGTGTGCATCAGGGTGCAGTGGTGCACCTAGGCATGATGCATTAGGTAATCATCGAGGTGGCACTCCTGTGCCAGTGACAACCAAAGGTTCTGGCCACAAGGCACAAGGGCACTGTTTGGCTCGGATCCCCACTATTATTACCTGAAATCCCGCACACGGGCCACCGTCATTTTGTTACCGCCCTCACCTTTCACGGCTTCTTCCCAACCTCACTTCATCTTTCCCCCCTTCCACCACCACCGCGTCTTCGACTGTTCGACATTTCCACGCCCCTCTCAGTCGGCCTCAACCACGAAAGACCGATAGATATACTTGTTCTGGCCGATCAAGACTAATTTTCGATCCAGAAATTTTCAAGATCGATCCTTACAGCCCTCACAATGATGCCCACTAGCTGGCCTCCGGCACCGCCTCCAGGCGTTGCCTACGGAGCACCTCCCGCCAACTATGCTTACCCTCCCAGTGAGTTTTCCTCCTCTCAGACTGACTGTGGCTTGATCTGATTTACTAATCCTCTTTTGATTTTTTTCTAGATCCAGCATACACCGCAGTTCAGGCTCGACAAAGCTTCGGCCAGTATCCTCCCCCACCCGCTGCACCTGCCTACAGTACTTCGCCGCCTCCCTTGGCTGCTCCCTTCGACCAAGCTGCCCCTGTTGCTCCTGCCCCGGCTCCACGAAAGGTCGAATGGCCACCCTCCGTCCGCGATTACGTCCAACGGTCTTTCCTGCCTCACAACATGGACCCCTCCGTGCCACGCCCCGAGATTGAAGCCAAGTTGAAGGAGACCATTTCCCAGCACATGGAGAACGGCACTCTCGAGTCAACCGACTGGGAGAAGATGCCATTTCCCTCCGATCTGATCCGAAACGAGCGCCAGTCCCAGCTCAACTCCGCTATGAACGTCTCATCTCCATTTGCATCGCGATATGATGGTTCAATGTCTGCCAACCCCAAGAAGAGAAAGTCGTCTGATTTTACCCCGGACGAAAAGTCTTCTGCCGTGCCTTGGCGTACTACTAACAGCAACCGATCCAACGCACTGGAAGACCGAATCACCTTCGCCTCCCCCGACAAACGCGCCAACCTCGATGAGCCACTGCCCAAGTCAAGTAAGTTCCAGAAGCAGTTGGAGAAACGTCAACGCCGCTTCGATGGTGGCTACAAATCCTCGTACCGATCGCCTAGCCCTCCGCCCTCTGATGGACCCGTCGTCGGCACCAGCGAAACTTTGGAGAAGCGCTACCTGCGTCTGACCGCTCCTCCCGTGGCCTCCATGGTTCGGCCCGAGCGCGTCCTTCACAAGACGATGGATCTCCTGAAGAAGAAGTGGAAGAAGGAGGGCAACTACTCTTACATCTGCGACCAGCTGAAATCCATGCGGCAAGATCTGACAGTGCAGCGGATCAAGAACGACTTTACAGTCACCGTTTACGAACTCCACGCTCGAATTGCGTTGGAGAAGGGGGACCTTGGTGAGTATAATCAGTGCCAAACCCAGCTGCGTACTCTATACGCAAAGGGACTGAAAGGAAACCCCATCGAGTTCAAGGCATATCGCATTTTGTACTTTATTCACACTGCCAACCGTACCGGCCTGAATGATGCCTTGGCAGATCTAACCACAGCAGAGAAGGAGGAGCGACCCATCAAGCATGCGCTCCAGGTGCGGTCCGCTCTTGCCTTGGGTAACTACCACAAGTTCTTCCAGCTTTACCTGGACACCCCTAACATGGGTGCGTACCTCATGGACATGTTCGTCGTTCGTGAGCGTCTAGCTGCTCTGTGCAACATTTGCAAAGCGTAAGTTCAATCCCTGACCATAGTTTGGCATCACCTTACTAACTTGGACATAGATACAAGCCAGACGTAAAGTTACGGTTCATCACGGAGGAACTCGGCTTCGAGTCCGACGTTGATGCGGCTCAATTCATTGTCGACTACAATGGTCAGCATCTGCTCGAGGAACGACAAGAGTCTATTGCTCTCTTGACCGGCAAAGCCGGAGCCCTCTTCGACTCCGCCAGAAGCGAGGCTTTCCGCAAGGTTGACATCAAAGGACAGATATGAATTCCTCGTCATCTCTGTTCTCATCACAAATTGCTCTACACAACTTCTAACCACCCCTACCGCCGACCCCAAAGCCACTCGCGAGGTCTTGCTTCCACTCCTCCCTCCGGTTCTCTCTTCAAAGTCCACAGGCTTTGATCTGTGGACTCATTCCTCCTCGTTTCCTCTTTCTTCTCTTGTTTTCCTACCGACAGTTTCACAACATTGGCGTGTCATTTTACCCTGCATCACTTGCGCCTTTCGAAGACGTCTAATACCAGTTCTTGGTTACGAGCTTACGAATTATCGCTTTCTACCTCGCTGCCCGCCCCCCTCTGATGGCATTGACGCTTACGCACAGCTCCACGCAGCGGGGACATCTTCGGTTGTTTCTCTCGAAGACAGCGCTGGATGAGGGGTGCGATGCTTGCGCAAAAGTGGCTTCGCCGCTGATGACGACCGACGTTACCGGCTTGGTGCTGGTCTTGGGCTCTGGGGGCTTTATAGGCATGATACCCGTTCGCCCTGCCTTAGCAGAGGCAACAGGATGGCGTTTGAGCGGAAAATATATGGAATCTGTCTCCATGACGGCTAGATGGCGACTGGAGTTTGTTCTGGACGTTTGCATATACGTCACTCAGCTTTAATGGAAATATTGCAGGCTGCCTTTCGTAGCCTGGCAGCAGTCCGGTCTGTAGACCTTATGAAATTCATGCCATACATTTGCTACTTTTTTTATGCCGTGCAATATGGCCCTTGTTTTTCGTTCTTGATGGCTTGAACGGCGGTTCTCATATGTCTTGTGGCAATCGCCATCTTGACCTCGGTACTTTCCTACCATTAGCTGTATAGGGTATGGCTGCAGCGAAAGTAGAATTGATGGATCTCACTCATCCATGACTAGTCGACGCTATCCAAATCCCAACAGCCCGCGTGTTGGAAGAAGACTTGACATCTCGTGGCTTCGTGTTTCATGCATATCGGCCAGGCTCTCGTTGAGATCATCTGAACAACGTTCACCGCCTCCGAAACAGCGTCTGGCGGGGTTACTAATGACTATTCTTGCTGCGGTTTCTACTACTCGGCCATGAGCAGACGGACAGGTGCCGGCGCTGTAGATTTGTATGCTGGAAAGATCTGCAGGAGGTCCTCGTCACCACTCACTCGCCTCTATCGCCACAAGATTCGCAAAATCGGAGGCTGGGGAGGATAGAAATCTCGTCCTATCCATACTGCAGGTATGATCTTAGTACACCAACAGAGAGGTTTTGCATGAAGACGAGGAGCAGGTCTGATCCTTAATATTGTTCTCTTTGTTGGATGGACGTAATACGGGTGACTGGAAGGAAACGGATCAGAGAAGGTCACTTCTGAGGGAATGGTTTGTACCATATGCAAGCCCGTAAAGAGTACTCATGATTTTCCTTCTGGCTAGGGCATGGAGACTGCAATGTCAGGAAACAATGCACCACAGCGCTCTCCCCCCCACCGCATTTGAAGTCGAAGTAGCATCGGATCCCCCAGTGCTTGACTCGGCAGAGCTAAGCCGAGGAATCTGCTCATGAGATTGTCGTGGATGAGCAATGAACGGGTACTGCTGTGGAATGTGGACAGCGGTCTGAAGCTGAGCGGGCATATAAGGGAAGGCTGCCCCATTTTGCATGGCAGACCTCGCAAAATTGACCTGTTGGTCCTGCGTGACCACTGCCTTTGCAATGTCTTCAAAATCCACCGTCTCCTGAGATGGAAAGAGTGAAAATGATGATTCGGCATCGCCATCGTGGAATTCGAGCATCGCGTCTTTTGGAGAGATAGTTTTCGGGGTTTCCGGCTCCGACTTTACAGACATTTGTTGTCGCATAATTTGTGCATCTTGCTCCGCCTTCTTCTGTTCCCGGATTTGGTGGGCCGAGTTGAATCGTAGACGAGAGGCCTGAACACCTCCACCAAAGTCGTGACTGGGCATCGGTGCCAACGGTGAACCCTGACGGAATGGCGAACGGTCGCGTGACACACTAGAGACTGGCGACTGTGCTGCACTCAAGTGCTGGTTGTTTGCAGCGCTAAGTCGTTGCGCAAACACGTCATTGCTAGGAGATACAGCCATGTGGTTTTGAGCCGGAGCTGCCGAGGTAATGGTGAAATTGGGGCTATACAGTTCATCATTATAGATGTCTGTCATCGTGCGGTCTAGCTTGGGTACGTTGCTGAAGACTGTGTCGAAAACATTGAGTAAGCTTCTATTCCCAGACATTTGCATGGAAAATTGCTTACCAGCTTTCCGCCGCCTGTCATCTTCGTGCTCGAGTTGTGACGGTGTTGCGGGTGAGTCTCCAGCAATGGAGCTTGCCACAGAGTTTGGGTGAGATCTGCTACCAGCCATAGAGAGTTCAGGCGCAGGTAATAACCCGCGGTCAGATCGTGGTCGTTGAACACTCAAGGCTGAGGCGTAGCCGGCCATGTCTGATGATAAGTTCTGCAGTCCGTTGTAGTTGGGATACATGTTGTCGTGGGACACCGCCATTGACTTGTTGGACAACTGGTAGAAGGCATTACCGTCGTGAGCCTGCATATCGTACAGAACGTCGGGTGTTGAATCTGTTACCGCGATTTGGGGATTCGTTGTACTGTGACTGAAGGGTGATGCGGGACCGGCTGAACCGAGCGAAGACAAAGATGACTCCCGCTGATGAGGTAGTCGACCACCGGTCTTGGGAGCGTACTGATTCCCGAGTACCCAGGCGTCTGACTGCATGAGGTTTTGCTGATGGTTGTGGTTCAAAGCAGATTCTTCGAAGCCTGAAGTGCTTGTCGCTGATCGTCTTGGGACGGTCAGATGAGGCGTGTCGTAACTTGCAAGGCTTGCCGAGTTGTTTGCCAGAGAGTAATGGGAAGGGAGAAAGGATTGAGTCGAGAGCGGAGACGAGGATATACTCGACGAGGTGAGGTCGGGAGCAGTGTCGTCAAAGGAGCCTTCAAGGTCAAAATCGATCGAGTGAGGGTAGAAATGTTGTGATTGTGTCTGATACTGGTGGTGTAGGTCGGAGTAATGTTGTTGGAGTTGTTGTTGCTGATGTTGCTGGATTGATTGTGAAGCAGTGGGTCGGGTCAACAGCATGATGTGGTAGTTAAGAAGTTTAGATATTTTGTAGGTGTGATGGTAGGAGGGGCCAAGTGAGTGGCAAACCACGGAGGGACGATGACTTATAAAGATGGAAAGACTAAAGAGAGGCAGCGGGTTGGTAGCACTACGTAGGGGACTTGCAATGCAATGAGGTAGCTGGCCAGGTACGTACCCTAGAGGGCTATGGGGCTTAGAATGGAAGGGCCAGGGTGTGCGGTAAGGTAGCGCGCTGTGGGTACGTACTGCTCCTCGCAACGCGGACGAAGAGCGGAGGTACCGGGTGGAGGACCCGAGGCTTGGACAAGTTGTGCTGGCGGTCCCGGGGATGGGATCAGTGTGGTAAGTAGAGCAGGGTTACAGGGGGGCCTTGGGATCGGGACCGGGGAGAACACCTTAAGGTCTGGACGCAGGAAGGGGAGGGCCCGAAGGGGGGGAGAGACAGGGAGAAAATTTTCAGGTGTGTGGGATGATGACCAAGTCGAACAAGAACATGCGGTATGAGTCCTTGCATTTTTTTCGTCCTCGATTCCATTCGCTAGAAGGTCGAGGAACCTCATGACCAACAACGGCCCAACCGGGGGTTTTGAGTTTTTGTCACTATTAAGCAGCCCAGCGAGCAAGCACTTGCTTGAATAATGCACTTGCAATGTGACACGCATAAGGCAAGCAAAAAGCGCGAGAAAGGCTCACTTGGTACTGCCCTCGAATCTAGGCAAGGCGCATATTCGTAATTCATTTCCTTTCCCCCAAGTCGACATTCGTACCTACTATTAGCTCACATTTCCCTATCTTGGCCTTTCGATGCACATCGTGTGAGCAACGCACGGAGTAGTAAAAGGCAGCAAAGGAAGTGCGCCGAGGTCTATAACCCAATTATGCGGAGACAACGCAGAAAGAACCAGCGGGACGTCGCTGAATTGGCCGCAGGCAGACGGAATAGTACGCTCCCAACAACGGAATACTAAACAGCTGACGCGGATAAAAATTGAGTCACATGATGGAAAGACAGATCGAGAACAGCCATGGCCCAGTGTGATTCGCACGCAGTAAGGCGGAGCAAGTTACAGTAGGTAGATACGCAGAAAGCGGGTGTGGGCAATAGACCACCAATTTGCAATGCAGCGTGAGGCAGCGTAAGGTAGGTACGGCAGTGCAATGGAAATGACGAGGGGCCTTGCTCGAAGCCTCTGGAAGTTTCTTGGGTTTAGGGATCATTGTCATTCACCCAACAAGTATAGGTATTGTCCGCAGCACCGCAGACGACTGATTTCGCCAGCTTGGACCCCTCAACTTAACCAATGATGAGTAAGCATACTCCGGAACAAGACAAACATTGGTCGTGGCACTCACGCACTGTGGGTTGAGCGAGACGGACAAGGCGGGAAGATGCGAGGCGGGAGATAGCACGGAAGTAATCCGAGGAGACAGACGTTGCTCTCATTGGATTCCACCCCTTTGCAGGCTCGCAGACAGGACACTCAAGGCAAGGCAGGGTGTTCGGCTAGGCTTGCGCTTGATGCTGCGCTGAGCGGGTGGTTGCACTCAAAGGGTCATGAGAAACAGCGATCAAGACGTAGGTGGACTCCATTCCGGCGACGGAACGACATCGATAATCCCGTCGAGGGCTGGTGGAGTGACGTAGGGCGAAGGGTTGGGACCACTGAGGTCTCAAAGCTCGCCGACATGGCAAGGTAGTGTGGGTACGGATACATACCTTAGTAAGAACCGGTATCTAATCACCTAGGTATCGTATCGGAGACGCTCACCTACGTACGGAGTGCCTTACCTCACAGGTTCATAGGTACTTACGCAGTGGCAGTATTACACCTTAGTCGATACCTGGTCGTCGATTCCCGTGGTGCAGAACCTACTGTGTCACTATGAGGAGAGTGGGAGGGATCGATGGGGTGCCCGGTAGGCCCACCTGATGACATGCTGGAACGCACACACTTTGTAGGTATGCACACCTTTACCACGTTACAACTATGTATTACATATCCCAGAGTCCCTCGATGATGGCACACGGGTGCATCTTATTCCTGGACCAACACGGGCCATCCGTCACCGTGCTTGCAGGCTTTATCTCTCACAGGCGATTGATCGTCAGAGACCATTTCTTCGTTCAAGGTGGCCGACACAAGGTGGGGAGAATTGAGATAAGAATCTCCAGTTCCAAGCTCCTTTCGCAAGTATGCATATCCGGACGGAGTATATACCTTTCCTAGTACCATAATTTGTAGGTACCTACCTAGGCACCTACCTGATGTAGATATACCCAGACCTGGTTGCGATAACCTGACCTCTACACAGTATGTGATCAAGCACTGACACTAATAACATGCTATGGCAATGACCATTATCCGAGGTTTTGGCCTGCAAGCGATGGATGTCATCCAAGAACCCACAGCAGAATCCGTACCGAAGCTCCTTCACTGCGTGACTGCGCAGTTTCCGGCCGTGCCAGCCCACCCTGGAGGGCAAACGCCGATGGTCAAGGGTGGGCGGACCGGTTCAGGGAAGAGTGAGGGGGGACGAAGATCGCTTCCATGCTCGCTGCACCGGTCGCTTCTACCATGCCGTGGCCCCACGAAGGCTGCATGTTTTGAAGGGTCCTGTCGGGCTGGATCATGGTTGTTCATGTGGGTGTGATGGGAGTGTTTGGTGGGCGCGGTCAGACAGGGAACAAGGGTTCGAGGCCAAAATGCCATGACCTCAGTCTGTGCCGGTTTTGACAAAAAAAAAATGATGCAGGCACCCGAAAGGGAGGGTGAGGGGGAAGGGGAAAAAAGTTTCTTGGAATTTCTCTTCGGGGAAGCCTCGGAGGACGGAGAGAAAATGTCGCTTGTGCCCCGCGGTCCAAAGGGGAGAACCCCGCGAAGCGAGGGCCCGCGAGACGAGAGAGCAGAAGAAACAAAAGAGCGAGACCGCTGGTGCGGATGCTTCCATCCGACAGGTGCGCTGCATTCATTGGCCAAAGGCATCGTGCTCAGCCACACTGCCACACCGTCGGTTCAGCGCTCAACTATCCAGTCTTGTTCAAGCCGAGAGAAGCCACCCAATCACGCAATGTGTCAACGTGTCAATTCACTTGCCCGTAGGAACTGGCGCTTTCTAATTATGCAGTGCGCCTCCTCTCTGGCCTCGGCCTCGTGGTTGTCGTCTGCAGGTACAGGCCATCGATAAACGAAGCGAAGATTCTATATCTGGGTAGAACGAATGCCCGATCGCCCCCCCCCCCCTGTCATCGCCATCTCCCATTCGTGCACCTCCAGCGCACTCCAATGCGGCAGTGCTCTATGAGAAATCTGGGGAGATAAGCAAGTCAGTTAGGGTAAGGACACCATACAGGTATGTTTTGGTCTACACTGCATACATCGTTGAAAATGTGCAACAATAACGGACATCTTTCGCATCGGCATGTTGACTAAAATCCTCTGTCGATGACAAACGATCGTAACGTTTCATGTTCAGTAACGACTACTTGTTTCTCATCGGAACGACGTACCTTATAGATGATGTCATATCCCGTGATCTCACAATGGCCCTTACCTTTGTAATCAGAGAACAAGCTGGTCAGGCTGATGAACCCAACAACTAACGTTCCTATCATATGCTGGTGGCTGGTGCCGGGCTCCCTTTTGTAACCTTGCTCATGGCACATTGGCATGTATCGGTTTTGGCTAAAGTAAGCATACTATCCAAACCTTGCCTAACCGATCCATCTGGTTGAGGTTTGACTGAGTCTGAGTGTGAGAACCACTTAGAGTTAACAGCCAACGTCATAGTATAGGTACAGCAACGGAAGACAGGCACCCGCTGGACAAAAAAATGCGCACACCTTAAACCGAGCACTAACAATATACTTACACTAGTAGTATTATGGTAGCTTGATTATGCTACATATTCAGAGCAAAATCATAGAAAGAAAAATAACTCAAAAGTGTCTCGTCTTCTGCTGATTATTGTGGGTTTTTTGATATAATTTTATGTCTTCTATAAGCGCTGTTAGATTCTTGGTTGTGTGCGTTTTTCCGTCCGGCGGGTGACAGGATCTTGCTGCACGTGCTCAATTGTCCTCCGTCGTCCAATCACCTTACTTTAGGTACCTTACTACGTTACGGCTATGCATCACTGCAAGTCCGCAAGACTTTTGTTCAGGTAATTTGTTTCCTCGCAACACATCTCATAAAACAGCTCGAATGCGCCGGCACTGCTAGGAGCCCTGTCTGTCCACGATCAATAACTTTGAACAGCATGGTCATCTGCCATCAGCCTTCGGTATTCGTAACAGTCCGACGTATCCACCAGTTATTCTGCATAGCAATAGTGGTGTGATAGGACATTGGCAGCACGCCGCAACTTGCAAGCTGAGATGTGGCCGGGCAGTGCTGGTTGCTACGCATTCTTGACGGCCACGTTCGGTCATCATTCCGGACCACTATATCCGTATACCTCCCTATAATGTACACCCCCGCGTCCTCGGATAGGCGTGTTTGCTCTGAACTTGTGACTCGTGCTCTCGTCTCAGTGATGTGGCTCAACCACGAGAAAGACAGGCCACCCATGGCCGGTGGTCGCCAAAGAGCATTATAGTGCATAGGTACCGAGGCATGTTCCAGCCACACATGCCGATCTTCAATGTGGCTTGCCCACCTGCACGTCGGGCCGAGCGGATTTCCTCGCATAACCACTGTGGCCATGTCCGCCCTTCTCACTCAGAGTGCCAAACTGCCAGGGGATGCGAGAATGCGGGAATGCGCTCGCATTGTCAAGCTTGAACCGGGGCGCTGGACTGGGTCCTTGCCCGCCGCGCGCAGCGTCGAAGAGACGGGGCTATGAATGCCACGAATCAGTCATGCTGGCAATGCCAGCTGACGGATGAGTCTGCTCGATGACTCCTCCCAGCAGCCGCAGCCGTAGCCGCGCCAGCTCTAGGCGTAATGGATTTCGATTCTTAGCTGCCGAGGAAGTGACTTGGACGAGACCCTCTTCAC